TGCTACAAACCTTACATCTCGTTCTTTTCCTTGGAATGTTGACATTCTTTATTGATGCTTTAACTTTCATAGCTTCAGTTTTCTTGTTGGAAAATGACAACTTGATTCACTATCACTCCAGCCTAAAAGTGAACTTTTGACTGTGCAGAAAATTCTCAAGTGAATTAATCTGAGAAAATTTTAAGTGCCATTTTTCTGAGTCTACTATATAGGCTGCCCCAGAAATAAGTACAGGCAATTATAAAGTGAGTACTATGACCCAAAGCAACGAAAATAATTGGTAAAAATGTGGATTAGAAAATGTTTCGGTAAAGAAACTGGAGTCATTCAAAGGTGTTCCAGCAACAGCAGGATTAGAAATGTCGTTAAAAAGTAACGTGTGCTAGGGAAACTTTTGAAGAAAAAATTATTCAGAAGCGGCGATGTGAACGACTATGTCTTTTATCGTTACCACCTTCCTCGTTCAGCAACAGAACAAAATCATCATGGTTTTCCCTGCAACAGTGAGATAGCAGGGCTTCGGTTGCAAAAGTAGCTTTAATGTCCCCGGAGAATACACATTGCATTAAACATATGCTAGAAAAACGTTATCAGTAACAAAAGCGTTGTGTTCAAGAAACACAGCAATAGCTGGTTAAAAATGTAGTTTTGCATTCCAGTGACAGTAGATGCTCGAAATGTTGGTTTTGCACTGCCACGAAAGCTCTGACACGACGATGCTTGTATTGACGGACGCGCTGAAAAATGTCATGAGTCTTATAGATCTAGATGCAGCAATTTGAACGCGCAGCGGCATTTCCAACGTTGAAGCGCATGCCTTTTTTTTTTTATATGTTCCCTGAAGACAAATCAGGGGGATTCAGGTCCGGTGAACGACTTGGCCAGGATAGAGGCCCGTGCCTTCTTAACCATCTCCCAGTGTAGGGAATCTCAAAGTAATTTCTGAATGCGTTTCTGAAATGGGCTGAGGCAACATCGTGCGTGTACTACACGTTTCGTCGAATATTCAGCGGGCCAGTATCCGTTAACTTTGGCAGTGTGTGTTCCAAAAAAAAAAGTCACTGAGCAGCGCCGTTGAGTCTTGAGGCAAAACGTATGGACCTATGAAACAATTCCCCCAAAATACCAGTCCAGAAATTAACTGAGAACTGCTGCTGATGTCTGGATTGATTGTTCTATGTGGATTTACGTCGCTTCAAATGTGCCTGTTACGGAAATCTAGTATGCCGCTCCATGTCAAGCCTGCTTCGTCAGTGAAGAGTACAGGGCTGATAAGTAATGGGTCTTCACCACATTGACGAAGGAACAACTGGCCAATTCTTGGCGTAGGAGAAAATCGAGAGGATTTGGAAGTTGTACCCGTTGTAAATGATACGGGTACAACAGCTGTTCATGGAGCATCCGTGACATTGTTACGCGCGCCCCACGTTTGGCAGCTCGTATTCAACGGGCGCAAGTGCCGCCATTCTCCTCCTCTCGTCTCAGCTCCCGCTTTGCCAGATCAGCTGTTCGTTCTCCGCCCCTCACCACTCTTTAAACGTAGCAGGCCGAACGATACCGGTCTGTATGATATGAGGATCGTTTGTGTGGAAAGTGCTTGGGTTCAGAAGTCTACGTAGTGGTTAATTTTCCGCATACTTTACGGCTGCTTCACTGTTACCACGGGCTTCGCCGAGAATTAAGTGCATATCGACGTATTCTCAGAAGGTGTAGTTACCAGTTTTAAACACAGATTTGCAGAGTAACTACGCAGATTGTACCCACAGGTCACTGGAAATGAATGCCTGAGGCCACGTGCTAGTGTAAGTGGTCATCTCTCTCTGTAAACATGACAGCTGTATGCTCTGTTGTTGAAGGGTGATGTAGGTAGTGTTGAAGACAAGTAGTCGTTCACATCACCTGCACTAAGTTCAGTTCTCTAAAAGAAAATGACCCTTGTATGTGTACTTGTATATGTTACCATTGTACCACAATTGTTATAATCCTACTGTTGCCAGAACATTTCGAATGTCTGTAGTTCGTTACCAAAGCACTTCCAGAACCATGTTTACATAAACTATTTCCATTATTTTGGCTGTAGTATTCCCCTTTCAATTTTCAGCACTTGTTACTGGGAGAGTCAGTATGAGGAGCCATGTCACTAAACTGACCCTTGACACTGCAAGGAGTTATGCAAAAGAAAATTTTTTTCTCAACATCCATTATGACATAAAAGAACTGATGATTTAATATCTCCATTTAAGATAGTGGTAACCTGGATATGCATACAAATGCAAAAACAGGCAATGTATGTACATATTTTATATATGTATACAGCATGTCACATTTTTACATACAAAACGTTACAGAATGTATTCTTAACACTCTAAGAAAGTTCAACAGAAAATATACATGAGAGCCATCCTTAAAAATTTACAACCATTAGAAAATGTCAGCTTCTGCTGTCACATAAAAGAAACAATGTTCTGAGAGCATTTTGTGTTTGGGTGGTGATCACAGAAGTCCATTTGATGCTTGGCAGGTGTTAATATTTACAGTACTGACAGCCTTACTCTACATATGTATTACTATGGCACATAATTGAACATCAAATTAGTCTGAAGAAATCTAAGCCTGCAAAAGCATATTACATACTGATCCAACATGGAAAATGGCTCTTCATTTACCGAACTAGTGAACATCTTGTGCTTGGAGAATGCAACAGAAATGTGACAGATGCTGTTTGGCAAAGAGAAATGTCCTAATTGTAGAGCTCCAGACCATTATACTTTCTTTCCTATTGACCTCAGATAATGGAAACCCTGAAAATTGTATGGAATGTGACAGGATATTGGCCGTCCACTTTCTGTATGTAATTCAAGTCACTGAAAGACAGTCTAGCATCAGTACCAGCTGCCTAGCAGCTTGTACAAGTATATCCTATACCCCTTACACTGTATGCTTTCATTAGAAGAACAGCAGTTGTCTCCAAAACACATTCAGACTGTGTAAGAGTTAGTGCCATACAGTACACCTACAAGATTTGCAGTCTCAAAGAATTTTGTTAACAGTTGGATAAAAGAAGATCCTATGTTTAAAGACAAAGATTTTATCCACAGGATACTCATGCTTCATGAGGACTGAAATCACAAACATTCACAATGAACATGTGTGATCAGATGAAAATCCTCATGCAAGTTGGTATCATCAGTGAATACAAATTTCCATCAACCTGCTGGCAGCAATGTTGGGCAACTACCTCATAGGTACACACATTTTATTAACACAAGATGGTGGCCATAACTACCTTAATTTTCTTTGAACATACTTGAGTAGACTACTGGAATGTGTGTCATTGTCATAGAATATTCATCTTCACATTGCCTTAAACAAAAGAAGGTGCTACACTACATTGCAAATGTGAAATGTCTGTGCCTCTATGAAAATGAACCTGAACACTGAATTGGTCAGAGGCATGAAGCTCCAGTTTCCTGTGCTGCACATTCCATTGACTTCAAACTTTTCTGTTTGTTTCTGTGGGGATATTTGCTAACCAAGGCCTGTACCACTGCAGTTGATACTTGAGAGGAACTATGGTGTCGGTCACTAACATGCTAGTGGTATGAAGAATACGTCTGGAATCTTTGAATGCTTGCAACTTTGATTTTTGTGCAGAAGAGTTGTGAGTCTGTGAATATTATGCCATTTTGCATATCTGTTTTAAAAAAGCAAAACTAGATATTAATAGATGTTTAATTTTTTTTTTGTATGCACAATCCATTAAGCATTGCTAATAATTTAAGGTGTGACCATGCAAGCCCAAATTAGAATGGCAGTAACTTTTTAAGCAAGGGCACCCCAGAGTACATATTCAGGAGAAGTTTTTACTGTTTATCTTGATGTTCACACACATCGTATAAAACATGGTATGTACGTAGTAATGAGACACTTGTATATGCATGGTTTTCTTGTCATGCTTTTGCAGCCCATTTGAGCAGTGAATCAAACACTTGGAAGGGTCCAGCCCTGCATTCTTTTTCACAGCCCTGGCAACACCTCCCTCCACTCCTCCAGTGAAGAAGTGATACTGTTATTAGGATAAACTGAGTTGCTGAACTTAATTTGAGATCTTGTAGTGGTTTTATTAGGCATTGAAAATTATGCTCAGTATTAATGTTTCTTTTCACACTGAATAACTTTCCTCAGGACATTAATACATCATCTTCCATATCATTTGCTCAGTTGTGTTAAATTCAAGAGCAGTGAAATTGTAACCGTTCCCAACCAAAAAGTATCTTAGTAGCAGAGGAGAAAACCTGCTTTTCCCATTGTTAGTAGTGGATGTGGAATCTCTACTCACTATTCTCACTTTTATCCAGTTTAAGTTTATAAGATCTAAAAGTTTGTGATGATGGTACATTAGTACAAATATTATGTTTTTGGACATTATCCATCATCTTGTCTTTGTCTAAAAACTGTCCTGTTTATTTTTCAAAACAGTGTTTTGGAGACTGGATTCTGCCTCCGTCTTTGGGTAAAACCTACTCAGTTGGGCCCAATCGACAAACAGGATGGTTTTTAGATAAAGACAAGCCAATGGATAATGTTCAAAAACATAATATTTGTACAGTTTAAGTTTATTGCCTATGCTTCAAGAATTATTGATTTCCTTTTTACCTCTGCATTATCAGATGGAATAATGTACTTCATGAATTTTGTGTACATGTTCCAGTTGCAGGGAAATATTCCTGCCCCAATGGGTTCTTCACATGTCGAGATGGAGAGTGCATCCATGATGCAAAACACTGTGATGGCCGTGAAGACTGCAAAGATAATTTTGATGAATTTGGCTGTGGTAAGATTCCCCAAAATTTTATGTCAGTGAGGGAATGCAGTAGATTTAGTTGAGAAAATAAACTGGCAGAACATAACTTAAGTAGAATGCTTCAAAAGTTCCTGGCCCCATTATCAGTTAATCATAAAATCTGCATATTGGAATTGGCTGGACACATCATGTGGTATATACATATGTGGGACTGTTGAATGAATCCTCACCATTGTGAAAACCTAAAACATTGCATTGCCTGAATATCTTAAAATACAATATAATTATAGAGGCAAAGGTAACATAATAGGTCCATCAGGAATAGCAGATCTTAAGGTTTTCAGATGCATTTTGAAAGACTCCAGCAAGGTTCAGGTGCAAGCAGCTGTATGTGGACGCACATTGTCATGGAGTACTACACTGGATGTGTGCATTCCACACCTTTCCTTCTGAATGGCCTTATGCGGTTTGCCTAGCAAAAAATGACTTCTGTTAACCGTTGCCTAGCAAATGGTTATATTCTGTCACAATATAATATTGTTCATTCATACTATACATAACACAGCAGGGAATGGGCCATCAGTGGATCAACAAATGTATTCTCAAATATATGTTGAGTATGTGGATATTATATGTCATCAACATAGACTGCTGCTGACAGGAACGAGGTGTCGGCAGTTGAGGAATATTTTTACATATCAGCACCTGTTGGTCACAGACCTGTAGGTACTGTAGGATACAGCTGACTATGATGGGCTGATGTGTACAGGTCACTGAATGTTTCAGGAAACTGTTAGTCTGCTGAGGGTCTGTTCCCTATCAGTATTGATATATATATATAATGCAAATGGGCCTTAATATGTAGTCATCTGTGATGTTATGTATTATTGATTTAAATGTTAAAATTATCACAGTGCTATGTTGGAAATAACGAATTAATCTGTAAAACTTTTTGTCACGTAATGTTCTGTATATTACAGGAACAGTTTACATTGCAGAGAGAGAGAAAGAGAAACCCACTCAGCCATATTATATGTCAATGCCAGGAGTTAAACTTTTCCTGCATAATGGTTATTTTAATAATTCATTGAAATTCAGAACAAAATTTTTGTTTTATATAGTTCTGTAGTTCAACGAAAATAAGATTGCAGTGGGTAATTCTCTTTGTACAAAATGTAATTTATATAATTTTGTGAGATTTATATACACTGAACAAAAATTCATAGCAGGTGAACGTTTTTTATTAGGTAATCAACTCCGTCCAGTGTGCTTTTGTAATATTGCTAGTGTGATGGACCAGGATGAACCAAATCAAGTTTTTTACTTGGTTATGATAATTCGTTTCTTTGAACACAACTGTAATGCCTGGATTCAATTTTTGTCTTAACCACTAGTGTTTTTTTTTTTTGTGATAACCAGGGCCCAGATTTTGATGACCTAAAAATATTTTTAAAATGACTGAAAAAATCCAGGAAAACGACCTATAAAATGACCGAAAATCCAGAAAAATGACATAAAATGACCGAAAAAACCATAAAAATGAACTTAAAGTTAAAAAAAATAACCTAAAAATATATCTGATTGCTTTAAAATGTATTTTTTAATCTTTGTTAACACTGAACTTAACGTTGCTCTTTTAAGTTCGTCATTTTTATGCTGAAAATTAAGCAATAAATGATTGAATTTGAAGCTAAATGTTTTAATATGATTTTTTCTATTGTGTTGGAACACTTATCAAATGTACATATACGGTATATATTCCAGTATTTAAGTCCCACCTCATTCAGAGTTGCAATAGAGGACAGTCAACATGTGGAGATTCTCAAAGGTGACTGACCGCCCATGCCTGACAGCACTTTCTTGTACTTGGAGACACTCCTTTCCACATCTGCAGACACAATGGGCGCATACTTGAAGTGTACCAAATCACTAGCAGTAAGTTCCTCTCTCTTCAATATTGAAAGTGCTGAAGGACTGTCCTGTCATAATTCAAGAAAGGCTGCATAATGTTTCATGACCTGAGTTTTTATCTAGAACATGTTTCATTTTTCTTGACACCATTTTACCAATGTCCCTTGACACTTTCTCTAAATCACTGGTTTTTTTTTTACCAGAGGGAGTAAATCTTTTAGTGTTGCTCCTTTCTTCTGTACCCATTTGATTCCTTCTGTCAAGGAACTGAAATTTGCCTCTATGAAGGCCAACTGTCCTAACATTTCACTGCACGAGAACTGTTCCGAAGCAGCTGCAATTGCCCTCGCATCCTCAGTCTTCATTGATCTACAATGTTTTTCACTACCTGAAAATGATGGCATAAATTGTATCATCAATCCACGTTCCCCACCTTGTGATGACTGATTCCGGGAGTAGTGGAACACCAGGAGCCATAGACTTAAACTGCATTTTACGAGGTGGAGCCTTGATGAAAATCTTCTTTGTCCATGAAACGAGAGCATCCACTTGAGGCAATCATGATCTCACTTCCTCTGGCACTCTATGCAGTGCATGGGATAGAGAAGTAACATTCACCAATTTCATATAAAACGACTTATTGACTTGCCTGCTTTTAAAATGTATGGCACCGCATTGATCACAAAAAGCAAGGCGATGTCATGTTATATACCCTCTGGCCACAGTAGAATCATCGACCTGTCAAAGAGTGTACAAATTGTGGGATAATAATGGATTCTAGCACCTCACTCATAAGCAGAAACACTTCACCTGGTCCATCAATTTATGAGGTTCTGATGATGTTTGCCACATAGCAAGCCTCTGTATCACAGGTCTCATCAATGGAAACGAAACTCTTTACCCATGCACTCTATTTGTAATCATTTCCAGGATATTGTTGTAGCACTTGGAAAGTTAGTGGATTCAACTGGGATAGAACGATCACAAATCACTTCCAGAAATTTTCAGTTTTTCATTGTTCAGAGCCCAAAGCAGAATATTTGCAGACACCAGAGCATCGCACAACTCCAATGACTTATTTCTGCCTTCAGATGAACACTGGTGCAGTAACATTTGCACAGATTTCTTTTTGTTCGAAATTTGCTCTTCTCATATATGCATGTTGAGGCTGATAGGTTGTAACGTGAAACATTTTTCTGCTGCTAATTTTGTGTCACACATCTTACAATATAAAATGTTACCATCAGTTGAAAATATATCATCTCCAAATTCAGCTACAATCTGCTTTAAATGACATGATAAAATGAATCATTCTAGTGCAACACAGAACTGAACTTTTCACACTGAGAAGCTTTTGTCAAATGTATCTTTGCCTGTACGGTCAAGGGTGAGAAACTGAAGACAGACGGAGTTTTATTGAGCAACAATATCATAAGTGAGGGATTCCGGCTAGAAATGTTTGTAACTACGCAAATTTCTTTGCACAGAACTTGGAAAGGGCCACAGTGTGAGTGACCGCTGTCGTACCCTGCTGCCAGCTCAAAATGTTTTATGATATGTAATGTCAGCACTTTCTGCAAAATGAACCAAAAGGACAGGATATTATTACAACTTATTGCAATCTGTGGTAGCAGGTATTTGGCTTGCAGCTGCAGGCTGCCTTTGTAGAGGAAGGAGAAAGAGAGAAAGAGAAAGAACACTTTACATGCATATTATTCACATTTCTGAAAACATATGAAGAAAAATTCCCTAAAATGGCTAAAATGACAAAAAAAAACCCATAACTGTCCAAACATTTACCAAAAAATTACCCCAAAACTGAAAAAATTACCTAGAAACTTAAAAATGATGAAAAATGACCAAATTGACCTATAAAAGTTACATTTCTGTAACCAGCAGCTCATCTCTGGGATTTATATATTTACGGACATCAAATAGGATACAAGGAAAAAAAGAGATTACATGTCATCAAAATCCAGGCCCTGATGATAACCATCATTTAGACGTAATTTGATTTTCCACTATAGAATGTTGATGAGTTTGAGTCAATGCAGTTTTCTGGATTTCTGCACAGATATAGTGACCTGCAAGGCACCTGTTTGGTTTCGCTGTCACAATGGACGCTGTGTGAGCAGTAGTTTTCACTGTGATGGTGCTGATGACTGTGGTGATTGGTCAGATGAAGAAGACTGCTCTTCAATTGTAAGAGTGCATGACCTCTTGCAGTTCATACTACACTAATGTAGCACTATGAAAATTAAATTGTTATATGTAAAATTGTGTGTATTCTTTATGATGAAAATAATGAAATGGTCATTGGAGTTCCTTAATTTCATTAGGCTATTTCGTTTGAATCGGTAATATTAGATACAGGACATCAGTAATACTGCAGAATTAGCACTTATGTATGAAAAATCTTTATGATTGTAATGATAGTAAGTTAAGCCCAACTGTATTGATACCTTTTCTGAAACTGAAGTATAGCCTTCTGAATCATATTATTTACATACTTTCTCAGGTGTGTCATGATCTTAGGCAATAATTTTAATATTCTGCCATGCAGCAGTTTTAATCTTCCTATGGAATCCACTGGTAATGTTTTCTGATAGTATCAGGTATTAAAAATTGTTGGTCAGCCACTACAGTTTTTTGATGAATTCAGTGACATTTGGTAGTCACTCAGACACTAGTCACAACTGTAAGCTGTTTAATATATAACTGTGTTGCAAACTATTGATATTATGGAGTTACCATGACTTACCAGTACCAAATTTTGACAGTTTATTGGTTACAGCTTCTGTTCAACATTCTAGCTATTGCCGGCAAGAGAAAACATCAGCACTTTGGAATCAAACAGCTTTGTTTCTAGAATATATTTGGACCCTCCTATAGCACAGTTTTATGGGTTTTCAGTAGACTGGATTGTGTAGTTGAGACCCTGTTATGACAGCCATTAGTAGGCATCACTCAAGATCGAAAATTGTCGAATGCGAGATAAGTAACACAAAGTTCCACAGTGGGACCACAACGTAGTTTCCTGCTGAAAATGTCATTTCCTACATATATCTTTAGTCCAATCCTAGTAGTTAATACATTAAGTTACAAATCAGGTATTTAATTTTAGACTGTGCATATATGATTTATAGGATTGGATTTCTTTGTATCTTATGTTACAGTGACCACATTGAGTATAAAAATAACATACTTTTGTGAAGTCATTCCCATATGAATATGTCCTGTGGATGTGACATCTTGTAAACTTATATTTAGCAAAATTTTTTGTACACTTCAGATCTTAAAATTATTGTTTCTGGACATTATCCATCCTGTTTTTATTTAAAAACACACAAACACACAAAAACACACATGAACAGATATATGTATATTATTTTGTATATGGGGACTGAACATTGTTATTCAGATACATTAATTTTAAAGGAGTCTATTTCAATAACTGACTGATCAAGAAAGAGGTAATATACATTGATTGCCTGAATCTGTGGTTAGGGAACACCACCAGCAAACTGTTCACTAGGCCAGTGGCGCTGCGTTGACAACAATTGTATCCTGGAAGAATGGGTGTGTGATGGAAAGCAAGACTGCATGGATGGAAGTGATGAACTCCAGGGGTGTACTCTTACGGTGAGTTACTGCACTGTTGGACAATGGAATGAAGCACATACTTACAAAAAGCATCCATACAGAATATTAGCCCTTTAAAGAGTGAATTTACTTTAAATATATATACAAATTCAGTTTGTACCTTGCAGGAAATGTCTCCACTTCAAAGGTCAACCAGATAAAACTGTTTAGGGACACAGTAGCTGTTTATTATGAGAACTATAGAAAGACTCAAATGCACTCTCTCAGAAGAATGCAGTTTCAATATGTTGAAGGAGATGCTGCATATTGTAACAACTGGGTTTTAAAGGGTTAATCTAGGACTTGTGGATCATTTTGAAAGTCATTATGAATGAAAGTTATCAAACCAATTTTTCCATAAGATTTCATTAATTCAAATTTCTTGCATAACATTTGCTTCTGAAGGAGAAATTTCAGGTTAAATCCTATTCTTCATGTAACAGTCCTTTAGGGCTTTCCTCACACTTGTCGTATGCTGTGTGAAACTAAAATTTTTTTTAACACATGAACAAGCTGTAAGAAGCCATTTAAAATTTACTTCTATAGGCCTATGTGTGCATTAAAATTCAGTGAAATGTAAGATAGAAAATTTCAGTTGTACTATAGATTCTCTATAGTCATATTTCATGATGTGTCATGTTTCCCGAACTCCAATGTGTACCTGGTGTGGTTGAATGAATAATTATTCTTCCTCTTAAGTTGAAAAATCTTTCCTGGCTTCTGATCCAGTACAGTATTCTCCCTCATACAATCAATTGTAGAATTGTTATAGTTGCTTTTAACCTTGACATTTCAGCTGAATATTGTAACTCATCCAACCTACCACAGTAGTTTCAAATGCATTTGTATCCCTGTTTAATATCTTGTTAAAATTGCCGTGTCCATTATTTGTCTGTGCATGAAGCAACTTAAAGATAAAAGATTTTGATTGTAATAGTGGAAAATTTAAACATATCACCATTTCAGAACATGTTAGGTACAGAATTACGTATTTTTTATTCAACACACTTTTTCTATAATATTATAATTCAGCATCATGTTGCTTTGGGGCACCATTTTACATTGTAAAGTATTCCATCTGTAATGCACCAAAGTCAGTCCTTTCTTAAAAGACGGGCGAAGAATAGTCGCTGCAAGAAGAGTAGCCGAAACAACAGGAGACACCGCAAGCACAGCTACGGGATGGAAAAGGAACGGGGATGCACCGCTAGGCTATTCGAGACGAACAGCCTTAAGGAGGGAGCAGTGTGACATGTTGCGCAAAGGAGAACCCCCCCACCAGCAGTGACGCGGCGGGTGAGTCAGCGCTCCCCTCCCCCTCCTCCGCGCGGTAACATAGCGCTCCCTCCC